TATATATATATATATATATAAACATACATTTCCTTTCTTATATAATTATTTCAATATTTCAGAAATCAGTATGTGCCCGTCATCTATAGCAGCATGGTTTTACGCACGTAATTATAATGTTTGTCTTTGTTGCCAGAAATTTTCTCAAAAAACCAAATATTCGTTAACGATACCTACTTATGAGGACACATGTAATAACACTGATATCGATTTCTTCGAATGGCTGGGAGTCTTCAGCATTGATGGTGATCTGTATGCTCATTTGCATTTTAAAATGGTTTTTCATAATGATTGGTAATGCCGCAGGAATATGACAATTACCGCTGTAACATTTTTAGATCTACTAAGGGAGAAGATAATTATGCAAGTACATATCAGTGCTCTTCTCCTTCGATACATGTTAGACAGGTACAGTATTTACAGTGGACTGGATTCTTCACACGACAAAAGATCCAAGAAGTATATAATGCTCTAAAACAATATGTATTATCACGAGATACTTTACCATGGATTAGTTTAGACGTACAAGGATTTGCAGATAGTGCTATTAGCTTTGATTTGAAAGAACATACGTTCTTAACTGATGGAGACAATAGTTACACTATTGTATTTCAACCGGAAGGTAAAGTCGTTATACGAAGAAATTTAAGTTCAAATAATAAGATAAAAGTACATCGTTGACTTTTTCTTGTTAATAAATACCTGTTTTATATTATATTTGTCAACAAAATTATTGCAACATTTATACCAAAATTTTACATAATTTCAAATAATCATAACATGAAAAATGGTCATATATGAATAATGATTGTAATTTTTTTTTTCATTCTTAAAGGGTAAAGTTTATACTTTAAGAAGCTTTTGATAAATTTTAAATTCACACACACACACACACACACACACACACACACACACACACACACACACACACACACACACACACATTCTTACTTTCGCTCACTATTTTTTCTAAAATAAGAACGTATTGTATTATGTCTCCAAAAAATTGCACCGTTTGACATATACTATGAGTCCAATAAATTTTTTTCGCAAATGTCAGGATAATCATCACGTAAAATATGGACTTTTTTTTGCAAATTAAAAATACAATAAAGCTTTGTACGATTTTTCATTATGGAGATACAGCGTATCAAAGTTACCTATACATTTTTATTCAGTTACAGCTAACATTGGTTGAGTTCAGTAGAACGTTTATTTTACAACTGTTGGAAGTTTTCTTCGCGCAGAGCGTGGTTGGTTGGGTTGAGCCAGTAATTAATTATAAAACTTATAATTAAACGTAGTTTATTGTAAA